AAAAAGAGGGAGGAGATGGGAGGGAAACTTTTTCATAAACGCGCCACTTTAATTTTACGTTCAGAAAGTTGATTTTAAAATCTCCACTATTTTGCCCACTTGGCCTGGACAATCAATCTGCTATCCTGGACAAAATGCATGATAAAGAAGAGCATCCAAATCAGATCGCATTTTTTTTTTCAAGAAAAGGAAGTTCATTGAGTTGGGATTAATGGATGAGAAGACGTGGGGCCCGTGTCGTCAGGACACATAACGAGCTGGGATGAAAGGACCGTAGGAATCCAACGACTTCCTTCAAACTACTGTTTCGTTTTCTTTTCCAATTTAATTTCTATCGTTATATAATATCTAACGATTAAGCGTTAATTTGAGCAAATCCAACTATAAAAGAAAAAATACAATGGCTCAAAATCAAATCCAATGGCCAAAATAGTATTATTAAATAATCAAAATCAGATCAAACAACAAAACTCACTCCAAACGCTATAATAATCCACCAAAATCAGTTTGTGTTCCACTTTGTTAATTTTGGTAAATCTCCTTCCATTCTTGTTGAAGAGAAAACTCCAATTAAGTGTGAAATTACATTATGTTTTGGAATTTAAATTTTTTAAAGTTAAAATAATTAGGAAATTAAATCATGAAAGTTTAAACAAAAAAATTGTCAAGAAAACTTAATGGCAAAAAAATTAGGAATTAACCATTCTTAAACAATTTAATAAAGTTGCGTTTGAGTCTGTATGGTTAGGGGAAAAAACGATTTAAGTCCGAGCAATATATTAATAGTTGTATTTTAGAGTTTTGTTCAATGCGTTTCATGGTGAGCGATATTCTGGAAAAAATCATTGAGAATCTGTATCCGTTTTGTGCACTGTACTTAAATGCCCTGTGGTTGTCGTTGAATTTCTCCATTTGCATCTATTCTGTTGCAACTTTCTGTTGATTTCCTGACCAAATCTAGTAAACATTATATTCAAAGAAAAGGGGGGGATTTTGATTTAGAACCACAATTGAGTGTTATTCATAGATTAAGTTCTTATGGTGATACTATGATTTTTTATTTTTTTTTTGGGGTCAAAAGAGGAATTCATTCATAATAATACTCGCACCCAAAAGCTGGGGAGGAAACAGTACACGATAACAAAGTAACAGCTTACACCATCAAAACAGAGGCAGAGAAGCAGAACAGGTGCTATCTCAGAAACATAGATGGGATAAGACACACACTAGGCTTGAAAATAGTGTGGACAAGGGAGGCCATCACGAGACAGAACCGAAACAAGAGAGGGAGGAGGTTGCGACATCCATCGGACGTTACCCACCCTCGCGTTTGACACCTTTGCTGCAGCATGGGCAGCTTGATTTGCCAATCTTGGCACCCAGTTCCATTGGACGTACTGGAATTCTTGAGCCTTTCTCCAAATCGCCGTGAGGATAGGGAAAATCTTCCAGCTAGCCATTGTTCTTTTCTTTGTAATGCAATCCACAACGATCTTCGCATCACATTCAAACCACAATATTTTGGTGATCCAACTCCGCAGCTAAATTAAGTCCCATAAGAACTACCAATGCTTCCGTCTCCTCAGGGGAGGATAAAATACAGGATCTAGATTCACCCCCAAGTGAGTGTCCCCGATAGTCCCTAATCACACAGCCAGTGCGAGCAGCCATCGTGTCTTTACTCCAAGCTCCATCAACGTTAATTTTGATTATGGGGGCCAAGGGGCCTGCCAAACCGCATCATTACTGGGGGGAAAGCGGGTGGGGATGGGGGGAAGTAAGTTGCATTGTTTCACAATACTGGCGAGAGATTTGGCTAAAACCAACTAAAGACAAGGCAGCAATTCATTAAAAACAGCACGACATCTCTCCTTCGATAGTTCCCAACCAATGATACCAGCAATTGCTGCAATGGGAAGGCCTATCGTATGTCTAGGAGATACGGTCTCAAGGGATTGCAGCCAAACATCAAAAGTATGGTTGGTTGGTTTGTTTTTGCATTCTATTCTCTTGCGGGGAAATTTTACTCATTCCAACTATTAGAATCACTCGTAGAAATGACATCTTATCTGATAAGTCTAATAGGAAGAAATGAAATTGGTAGTTCATAGATATTCTTGTGTGTGAATAAACAGTAGCAAATTAGTAAGTCCATAAATGCTGCTACTTTATTTGCATGTCTAATCTTGCTGACTGTCTCTTTTACTTGCAGTTCATTGATGTTGGAACCCTGATTTCTCCAAAGATTTTTACCCGACGTTGTATTCGAATTTTTATTTGATTTGATTTCATGTTAGTTAAATAGAACATTCATGGAAACCAAATGTTTAAAATACTCACCAGAAAATAGAACATTCATGGAAACCAAATGTTTGGATAACTTCCAATCAAGTTCTTAGGAAATTCCCAATACATAATTGCTTGCGAACAAGACACTATAACAAAGAGCTGAGCTATATGAATCCAATACTTGAAAACGTTTCCATGGAAGCTATGCACTCTTCAAGTCAAATGAAGCATGGATGTCATCTCGGAAGGTGCTGGAGCTAAAGATAAAAGTTAACAAGCACCCGTAAGTATGGAAACAAAAGTTAGTTATAAAAACTGTTGATGTTCAAATTTCTCCCGTTTCACTCTTTTATTTTTAGTTCAATCCTTGGCTTTTTTTTCTTTTTTTTTCGTGTAGTCTTGATTCTTGGAAGCAACATTTTTACGTTTTATTACTTTTTTGTACAATTATTTCTTCTCATCTGAGTCTTCTTAGCCCTCTTTTTGCTCCAAGGTTAGAGCATTTACCTTCGGAAAATTTTTGTTTACACTACATTATGCAACTTTACGACAGCAAAAATGACACATTATAAGCAGTCAAGATTTTATGTTCGATTTTGTTAGCCAATATTATTATTATTATTCTTATTCTTATTTTGAAAAGTAATCGTTAGCCAATATTATTAGTGTTGAATAAAAATAAAAATGAAGAAAAAACTTAATCAAGACCCCACGTAGGAAAAGATTCTAGGTCCAATATCATATTCTGTTTGTTGCACTAGGTCCAAGATTAATGAGGGGATCTCAGAAGATTCTAGGCCCAATATCATTTTTGTAACCCACGAAAATAGCCAGTTTGGGTTCTATCCATGTTTTGTCATGGCCCATGGGAGTTTTCAATTTTTCAATACGAATACAATCCAACATGGTCTCAAACTTCACCGACATGGTCTCTAACAAAGGCAACGTCTACGGTGCATCCGGTGCACTAGTGCGCCATTTTTTTTAAAACTGTTACAACAAGTAGTAGGTAAAGGATGACGGGAAAAAGCTTAGATGCTTATTTACTTTTCTTCATTTGGTTAGTACATGTTCCAAGGTCTACTTTAAAAAGCTTAGATTTTTAGTTATTCTCATGAATAATATTGTTTTGTTTTCCTATCTTGTAAAAATTTGGTGAATTTAATTTCAACAATGCTAATATTTTCAGAGACTTGTTGGACTCATATTTTAGTGGAGCCCATGCCAAGTCTGATGCAACCCATGTGAAGGGGCCCGTGTCGTCAGGACACATGGCAAGCTGGGATGAAAGGATCGTAGGAATCCAAGGGCTTCCTTCAAACTACTGTTTTGTTTTCTTTTCCAATTTAATTTCTATCGTTATATAATATCTAAAGGCTAAGATTTAATTTGAGCAAATCCAACTGTACCAAAAAAAAAAATAAAAAAATAAAAAATTCCAATGGCTCAAAATCAAATCCAATGGCCAAAATAGTATTATTAACTAATCAAAATCAAATCAAACACTAAAACTCACTCCAAACGCGATAATAATCCACCAAAATCATTTTTTGTTCATTCTCACTTTGTTAATTTTGGTAATTCTCCTTTCATTCTTGTTGAAGAGAAAACCCCAATTAAGTGTGAAATTACATTATGCTTTGGAATTTAAATTTTTTTAAGTTAAAATACTTAGAAAATTAAATCACAAAAGTTTAAACAAAAAAATTGTCAAGAAAACTTAATGGCAAAACAAATTAGGAATTAAAAATTCTTAAACAATTTAATAAAGCTGCGTTTGAGTCTATATGGTTGGAGGAAAAAACGATTTGAGTCCGAGCAATATATGAATAGTTGTATTTTAGAGTTTTGTTCAGTGCGTTTCATGGTGAGTGATATTCTTTAAAAAGTAATTGAGAAAGTAAATATCAAAGAGAGGAAAAACAGCACAAGTGAAAAGATTCGTTTTTCTTATATAGACACACAAAGTATTTGGTAACAAGTAGAGAGAAAGAAAACATCTGTTTCTAATCTATATGAATTCTGAAGTATAACAACATTGACTAAACCAGCAAAGGTGTGAAATGCATCGTGGCTATTATAACCATGAAGAGACAAAATGTGATGAAGTTCATACCTCATTGTCACATGAAGTATCTGAGTAGTTCATTTTATTATACAATGTCAAATACAGATTACAGAGATGTGGGAACATTGTAAAATTTTCCTCTGTGATTAAAATTAAAAGAAAAATCAGATAATGGATTTCATCTTTATAGAACACAACTACTCATTATATTTTTTAAATCCAAAATAAATTTAAATTTAAAAAAAAAAAAAACCTCTTACAGGCGTTGAAGCAGGTGGAGAGAGGCTAGTGAATATTTAAATTAAAAATAACCTAACAAAAAGTAGTAAAAAATACTGTAGATCAACTCATGTGCCAATATCCTATTTGTTGTTAAAAAAATAAAAATCAAAGAAGGCCTAGAATGATTATACCTAATATTCTAAAATTTTCTAAAATAAAAAAATAGATTATTGTTTGTATTAAAAAAAAATCTCTACTAACTATATTTTCTAAAATTTTCCTCATCTTTTTATTTCGTACCTAATATTCTTCTATTTACCAAAGTTTCTCTGTAATTTATTAGATTTTGTCGGATTTAAATTTTTACTTATAAGTTTTTTGCTTCGGAAAGATAAATGATATTATTATTATATTAGTTTCTCTAGTTTCACAGGTCCCAAATTTAGGCGTATCGATACACAAGGCGCACTCCAACTCAAGTTCTCAACCCTAATCGCTAAAATCCCTCATCTCAGTTGAGATTATTTCTGAAACAGAAACGCTCCAGCCGTCGGCCACGAACAATCCGCCCATCTCAACCGTCAACTCCCCCATTGTTCGACGCCGTCTTCCTCCCATATACATATTGCTCAGCTCTCCTCTCTCTCTCGACAGTGACAACGGTTGATGCGCAACCATCTTCCCAAGTATGATGTCTTACTGCAATATATTCTAATCCTGGACCCCATCTCATCACAGATTTAAGATCCACTGAACCCCCACCCTCTAGCAACGATCAGTTTCCTTGATTTTGTTTCATATTTCTTTTTTATTCTCTTCCGTTTCTTATTTCCTGGGTTTTATGTTCTACAGGGTTTGAGTTGAATTTTTTTTGGCATTCCAAGTTTACTTTATTATTAGTTGAATTAACTCTCTTCAGATCCTCCTGGTTGCAATTTTTGATTTAAATTTCACTTTTTGGTGGGTGAGTTTGAAGTTGTAGAAATTGCTTCTTTATTGTGATAAATTTATCATTCATGAATTTTGAACTTTGTGCTACTGATTAGAAGTATATACCAATGATCTTCTCATAAATTTTGAAATTTCCGTTGATATGAATTTTTTGTGTTGAATATGAATAGGGCCTGTGCAAGTTCATATTATACGGTTTATGCATCTTCTCATAAATTTTGAAATTTCTATTGACATGATTTTTTTTGTATTGAATATGAATAGGACCTCTGCAAGTTCATAATGGCTGCCACGGACGATGGTTTGAAGAAGCTCGAGTACCTTTCCTTGGTTTCCAAGGTCTGTTCAGAGCTCGAAACCCATATAGGGGTTGGGGACAAAGTTCTGGCGGAGTTCATCACTGAGTTGGGACGAAACTGCGAGACGGTGGACGAGTTCGACACCAAATTAAAGAAAAATGGTGCCGAGATGCCCGATTACTTTGTCCGTACACTCCTCACTATCATTCACGCTATTCTTCCACCGAAGCCAAAGCCGGAGAAGGACTTGAAGAAAGAGAGCGCTTCTGATGGTAGGAAGACCAAGTTTAAGGCTTTGGCTGTCGCCGATAATAAAGATAGAGTCAAGGACATCGAGAAGGAAATTGAGATGGAGACCAAGGAAAAGCGAAACAGAAGAGAAGAACAAGACGAAGAGCGAGAAGAAGATAGGCGTAGAGGTAGTGATAGATATAGGGAAGGAGATAGAGATCGAGATCGAGATAGACACAGAGGAGGTAGAGATAGAGATGGGAGGGAAAGGCGAAGGGAAAGGTATGATAGAGATGAGAGGCGTAGAGATACACATTATAATGATGATGGTGACGACAGGGGAAGGCATACAGATCGATACAATAAGCATAAGAGAGATGGGTATGAAGACAATGGAGATGTCAAGGAAGATGGTGATGATAGGAGAGGTAATAGGGATCGGCAGAATGGCCAGAACAATACGGATGAGCCCGAATTGTATCAGGTTTATAAGGGCAGGGTTTCAAGAGTGATGGACACCGGTTGTTTTGTTCAGTTGAATGATTTAAGAGGGAAGGAGGGTCTGGTTCACGTTTCACAAATGGCAACTCGGCGAATTAGCAATGCTAAGGATGTGGTGAAGAGGGATCAGGAAGTTTATGTGAAGGTGATTTCAATTTCAGGTCAAAAGTTGAGCCTTTCAATGAGGGACGTTGATCAACATACAGGGAAGGATTTGCTCCCCTTGAAGAAGGTGACGGTCTTAGGACAAACCCATTGTCGTCAAAGGATAGGCCTGTGACTAGGATTGGTATTTCTGGGATTAGGATTGAGGAAGAGGATGATGTTTTTGTCCCATCACGCCGCCGGCCATTGAAGAGAATGAGCTCGCCAGAGAAGTGGGAAGCCAAACAGTTGATTGCCTCAGGTGTTTTGGGTGTTACAGAGTATCCTATGTATGATGAGGAAACCGATGGGATGCTTTATCAAGAAGAGGGAGCTGAGGAAGAGCTTGAGATTGAGCTCAATGAGGATGAGCCAGCCTTTTTAAATGGACAGAGCAGGTATTCTGTTGATATGTCACCTGTGAAAATCTTTAAGAATCCAGAAGGGTCACTAGGTCGTGCAGCTGCTCTTCAGTCTGCACTCATTAAGGAGCGTAGAGAAGTGCGTGAGCAGCAACAAAGAACCATGTTGGATTCTATCCCAAAGGATCTCAATCGTCCCTGGGAAGATCCAATGCCAGAGACTGGTGAGAGGCATCTTGCACAAGAACTTAGAGGTGTTGGTTTGTCGGCATATGATATGCCTGAGTGGAAGAAGGATGCTTTTGGGAAAACCATCAGTTTTGGGCAGAGGTCTAAACTCTCAATCCAGGAACAGAGGCAGAGCTTGCCTATCTACAAGCTGAAGAAAGAATTGATTGCAGCGGTGCACGAGAACCAAGTGCTTGTTGTCATTGGTGAGACTGGTTCGGGTAAGACAACACAGGTAACGCAGTATCTTGCAGAAGCGGGTTACACGACAATGGGTAAGATTGGTTGTACACAGCCACGTAGGGTGGCTGCCATGTCTGTGGCCAAGAGGGTTGCTGAAGAGTTTGGTTGTCGCTTAGGAGAGGAAGTTGGCTATGCAATTCGTTTTGAGGATTGCACTGGTCCAGATACTGTCATCAAGTACATGACTGATGGTATGCTTCTTAGGGAGATTTTGATTGACGAGAACCTTTCTCAGTATTCTGTGGTCATGCTTGATGAAGCTCATGAGAGGACAATCCACATAGATGTTCTTTTTGGACTGCTGAAGAAGCTTGTGAAGCTGAGACCAGACCTTCGTTTGATTTTCACATCTGCTACTTTAGATGCGGAGAAGTTCTCTGGTTATTTTTTCAACTGTAACATCTTCACTATCCCTGGGAGAACTTTTCCTGTAGAGATACTCTACACTAAACAGCCGGAAAGTGACTACCTTGATGCATCTCTAATAACTGTTCTACAAATACACTTGACAGAACCTGAAGGTGACATCCTTCTTTTCTTGACTGGACAAGAAGAGATTGATTTTGCATGCCAGTCTCTTTATGAGAGGATGAAAGGTCTTGGTAAAAATGTCCCTGAGTTGATTATCCTACCAGTGTATAGTGCCCTTCCTAGTGAAATGCAGTCAAGGATATTTGATCCTGCCCCACCAGGTAAGAGGAAAGTAGTTGTGGCTACTAATATTGCTGAGGCATCACTGACCATTGATGGGATATTTTATGTCATTGATCCTGGTTTTGCAAAGCAAAATGTTTATAACCCTAAGCAGGGGCTAGATTCACTGGTCATAACTCCAATTTCCCAAGCATCAGCCAAGCAACGAGCTGGGCGTGCTGGGCGTACAGGCCCTGGGAAATGTTACCGCCTTTACACTGAGAGTGCATACCGCAATGAGATGTCCCCTACTTCAATTCCAGAAATCCAGAGGATAAATCTTGGGACTACTACACTTACAATGAAAGCTATGGGGATAAATGATCTCTTATCTTTTGATTATATGGATCCTCCTTCACCCCAAGCACTCATTTCTGCCATGGAACAATTGTACAGTTTAGGAGCACTGGATGAGGAGGGGCTGCTCCCCAAATTGGGTAGGAAAATGGCTGAGTTTCCTCTGGATCCACCCTTGTCTAAGATGCTACTGGCCAGTGTGGACCTTGGATGCAGTGATGAGATCTTGACCATCATTGCAATGATTCAGACCGGTAATATTTTTTACAGGCCTAGGGAAAAACAAGCCCAGGCAGATCAGAAGAGAGCCAAGTTTTTCCAGCCAGAGGGAGATCATCTGACTTTACTTGCAGTCTATGAGGCATGGAAAGCTAAGAATTTTTCAGGGCCATGGTGTTTTGAGAACTTTGTTCAATCTCGATCCTTGAGGAGGGCACAGGATGTCAGAAAGCAGCTTCTCAGCATCATGGACAAGTATGTTCTTCTAATTTATCTTGATGTGTATTCGTGGTTGCGTGCATCTTTTTTTCTGGTTTCACATGTGCATGAAGGGTTTTAAAAGATGTAGATTAATGCTCTAGGTTTGCTCATGTTTGGTACATTGTATGTTTGCAGTAGTCGTGAATTAGGCATGCCTTTTGCTGTCTGTACTTGATGGAAATGCTGAAATGTTGTTCAGGCCTAGTTTGTGTTTTAAAATCTAGATATATGGCATATTACACATCCTACCATCGCCATTAACAGTTTTCGTTGATTGACATAGCATTGTCATGTAAGCTCTAGGATAAGTTTGTGTATAAAAACCTAGCATAAGTTTGTCATGCCAATGTCTCTACTAGCACCCCTTGCTTTAGTTTATAACAGTGATCAACGATTTCTAAGTTGAGTATTCTGATTTGAAGATGAAATTGCATTCTGACTATATATTGTGAATTTCAGGTATAAACTAGATGTTGTCAGTGCTGGAAAGAATTTTACAAAGATCAGGAAGGCAATTACGGCAGGGTTTTTCTTCCACGGTGCTAGAAAGGACCCGCAGGAGGGTTATAGAACCCTAGTGGAGAATCAACCAGTTTATATACACCCAAGCAGCGCCCTCTTCCAGAGACAACCAGATTGGGTGATCTACCATGAGCTGGTTATGACCACAAAGGAGTACATGCGCGAGGTGACGGTCGTCGACCCCAAATGGCTCGTGGAACTGGCACCCAGGTTCTTCAAAGTGGCAGATCCCACCAAGATGAGCAAGCGCAAGCGTCAAGAACGTATTGAACCGCTATACGACAGATACCATGAACCTAACTCTTGGCGTCTTAGTAAGAGACGTGCTTGATATGTGTATCATCTGCTGCTTTTAGTTTTTCTGTATGGATTCAATGTGAATATCTTGTAATTACTTGAGCTAATTTTTGACATTGAGTGCACAAAATTTGTGTGGCTTCATTAATTTTTAACATCCTCGTGAAATTCCTTCAATGTCGCAATGAGGACGTCATCAATTGCTTATTTTCCTTACTGCAAGCAAGCTGGGGGTAGAATCTGTTGTGTAATTTAAAAGCTATTTTATTTCTTGATTTCTACTTTAGGAGATATTAGCTGTTCTGTTCTCTGGACAATGAATTGTTAGGAAATGAAAGAATTATAGCGTATTCTTGAATGTATTAAGGCATTCAATATTTGATGTATTTTAGCATTCAAATATGTATGACCTCTGATCCTAGCTTGTTAGCATGGCCTGAGTTGCCTGCCAGGTCTTTCCTGGAGAAAGCCTGGGAGTTGCCTAGGCTGGCGGAGGTAAACTGAGACTGAAGATCCAAGCAATCTGAGGGGTTGTGGAAATCTGCCTTCTTTAGTGTAGAAAACTCATCCAGTATGGTACTTGAAACAGAAGGGTCAATAACAGTGCTTACACCACTACCAACATCAACGTGTGGACAGCCATAAATCCCACATTGATTGTTGATCTCATCTGAGAAATCTCTCAGACTGCTTGAGTTAGAAATACAATTAAGGCTACCTGGATCTCGATGGGATGAAGTGAGCTGATCCACGTGGGGTAAGAGCCTACAATTATTCAGGCTGTTATCCCACATGTCCTGACCAATTGAAGTTAGGGAGGAATTATTTGCTTCAGTTAAAACGGCTCAAGAATCTTGCAAATCAAACACAGACAAAGGCCCCAATGATCTAAGTGTCCCAGCAAAGGGTTGACAAGACTGGAAAAATATGCATTCATCATTGTCTAGGAATGGAAGCGAACCATTTGTGCTACTGAAATCTGAATGAGGCATATCAGTTTGTTGGGAGTGGTAGATTAACAAGTTGAGTTTTCAGTAGCATATTGACTAGCTGTTCCAAACATAGACTTGAAATCGAGTAAGGAAAAGAGTTCCCATTTCCAATCTCAGGAACCCAAATGAATGGTCTTTTAATCAAATTTCCTCACTCAGTTTCTGTTGCTGGTAGCACAAAAAAAAAGTCATAAAAAAAACATCTAACAGACTTCCCTGCTAGAAAACAGAATCCAGAGTGTAATGGTCGTTTAAGACTCGAAGTGAGAGAAGGAAATATGAAAAGATTTTCAGTGAGTCTCAATTTCCGCCACATCTCAGTGGATCTAAATCACTAATACCGACTATTGTACCCATATACTTGCAGAGAACATGCAAAAATGTTGACCTCTGGCCACACATTAAAGCAATGAACATAACATTATCACATTGATAATGAAGATGTTGAATTATGAAAGGAAAGAATGACCAAAACAGAGCCACACATTTACAAGGAGAAGCTGACCCCCAATTTACAAGGAGAAGCTGTACGTTGCAAATAGATGACCAAAACAGAGCCACACATTGTAATCTGAAATCAAGTCCGCTTTGGCTTTGGCTTAGTTAATTATAATAACACTATAGCTGGAACTAATACATTAATCGGAGTGAGCTTGGATTAAAATGGATCTGTTTATTTCTCTCAACAAACAAACAAACAAAAAACAAACATTAATCGGAGAACTCCGAATTAATTGTTCTGACAAGTAATTAACACTAATTTAACTCATATTTATTCCTACTAAGCACTCCAAATTAACTCGTAAACTCTTCTCCTGATGCATGTGCATGCGCATGCGCGTACTAGCAATCTTCAACACTTGAATTGGGAGGCATTCAGCTACAGCTACTTTTCTCCTAATTTAGATGCTGCAGCTAAATATCAAAGTAAACAAATTAATACCCGTCAGTTTGGAGAGAAGAAAAAATGCAATAAGAAAATAATTATAAAACGAAATTAATGATGAGAGAGAAAGAGTACCGTCGCGAGCTTATCTATTAAGCATATGCTAACTTCAGTTGCCGCTTGATCAAAGCTATCCTCACATAAAGCCAATCATTTAAATTATTCAAGAACTTGAAGTATGCGTATCTCCATGACCTGTTGAATATCAAAGTGCCGCAAACTCCCCAAAATCCAGCAGCAAACCCAATCCCCATACTAATGTAAAATCCCAGTGTTATAAACTCATCCTTATCCTCCTCATTGCTCAAGTCAGTTGGCTCATTTTGATTAACACACATCTTTTTAAGTGGAGGTCCACAGAGTAGAGGATTTTCAGCATAATCAAGGGGATCAAAGCTTTGGAGCTGAGTGCCTGTGGGTATTTCGCCAGACAGGTTGTTATATGACAGGTCCAAGAAACTAAGACGATCTATCCGAGCAAGGCTTGTCGGAATTCTTCCATCTATCTGGTTTCTTGATAAATCAAGCGAATCCAATGACTCCAAGTTTCCGATCTCTGGAGTTATTTGACCTGTTAACTGGTTTCTCGAAAGGTTTAAAGAAATCAACCCAACAAGATGAGTGATTTCACTTGGAATCTCCCCTGTTAATCTATTACTTGAGAGATCAATTCTCTTCACAAGGCCCAAAGTGCTTTTGTATGTCTGCATTCTTCCTTTCCATATGAAGCTTGCATCATCGTCATAATTAGTAGGAGCAATTGACTCATTACCCATACTTCCGCCATAAAGATGTGTGCTGGATAGACTTGGATTTCCTTTTTGAGCTAGAGTAGTCAAATTGTTGAGGCATTTGGGTATGCTTCCAGAGATGTTGTTCATAGAGAAATCCATAATTTTAATGTGTGTTAGATGGCATAATTGCGAGGGCATGCTTCCATTGAAGTGATTAGTGGAAAACATCAGGATAACCAAATTCTTGAAGCTCACACCTAACCATGTAGGTATTGGTCCTGATAATTTATTATCTCCCAGATCAATAACTTCTAAACTTGTGCAGTTCTTCAACGATGAAGGCAATTCTCCAACAAATCGGTTGCTTCTTAATTTCAAAGTTTGCATTTGAAATAAAGAGCCAATTGTCATGGGAATTTTTCCGGAAAAAGCGTTGTTACTCAAATCAAGCATGACTAGATTCTCCAAATGGCTCCAGCAATCTGGAAGTTCTCCAGCAAAACTGTTGCTTGAAAGATTAAGATACGCCAAAATCATATCTGCACTTGCGCACAGGAAAGAAAGAGACCTTGAAATTTTATTATTGGAGAGATCCAGATAGGAGGCTTGTGATAGAGTTGAGGGAATTGGACCTTCTATTTGGTTCGAACTCAAATGTAGTTCTGGGGAATATCTAAACTCCACTGTCAAATTTGTAAATATTCCTCTGATTAGGTTCTGTGAGAGATTAATAACCTCTGCGTTACGAAAATTACTCCAAAACCAACTTGGAAGAATATCAGAAATTCCAGCATTCGAAATATCAAGCTTGAAAGAATCATTTTGAGTTTGAAGCCATTTTGGGAAAAGAGGACCGACCTTGCAGGACGCCAAATATATCTCAAACAACTGGAAGGGAGGAACCCAATCAGAATGGAACTTTAAAACTAGTGAGTTATAGGATAAATCCAAATATCTTAAATTGGAGAGTTTTGAGAAATGAGTTTCTGAAACCACCCCTTCCAAAGAGTTTTTGCTGAAATCGATAAAATCCAGTTGCGACATTTGCCCAATACTTTCAGGTATTTTTCCGCTTAATTGATTGGCACTAAGATTCATGCGTGTCAAAGATGAGAAGCTTGTAAGATTGTTTAATGACCCCTTAAGAACATTCTCAGAGAGGTCCAGATCCACTAATGAGTTTTGAGCACATCTAGGCAATAGTTGAACAAACTTGGATAATTGTCCACTCAGATGATTTCTCTGAAGCGACAATGTTCCCAAATTACACAGCCTTGCAAACGAATTTGGATTCGCTCCATCAATCTGGTTATCAGAGAGATCCAGATCCACAAGAGAGCTCATGTTTCCAATGAAATCGGGAATGAAACCAGATAGATTATTGTTGGAGAGGTAAAGACGAACAAGGCTTGTACTGTAGTTGGACAACCAAAGAAATATTGAAGAAGTGAGATGGTTGTCAGAGAGATAAACATACGCAAGAGATGTAGAAGAATTTGTTTTGTAAAGAGTAGTGGAAAGAATTGGAGTAGGAGGAGGAGGAAGACTACAGTTCCACAAGGTCAACTCTACTAGTTTAGGGAGCTTATTAAGTACTGCTTCTGGCCAATCGAAAACAGTACTGAGATTGTTTCCGCTTAGGTCCAAATGCGTTAAAGAAGAAAGAGCAGGGAGCCAATTGAGATTTTCTGGTTGAAGCTGATTATAGCTGAGGTCGAGATTTTGCAATTGCGTGAGGTTTCCAAACGAACTTGGAATTTGACCAACCAAATTACAGGAACTGAGACTGAGGTGTCTTAGATTGGTTAGAGAACCAATGAAATCTGGAATTTGGCTCCCATTGAAATTAATCAATGCAAGGTCCAAAACAGTACTGAGATTGGCTCCGCTTAGGTCCAAATCCGTTAAAGAAGAAAGAGCAGGGAGCCAATTGAGATTTTCTGGTTGAAGCTGATGATTATAGCTGAGGTCGAGATGTTGCAATTGCGTGAGGTTTCCAAACGAACTTGGAATTTGACCACCCAAATTACAGGAACTGAGACTGAGGTGTCTTAGATTGGTTAGAGAACCAATGAAATCAGGAATTTGGTTCCCATTGAAATCAATCCATGTAAGGTGCAAATATTGTAAATGCTGCAACTCAATCAGTTTAGGACTAATCATCTTACCTTGGAAAGAATATTCAAGGAAAGAATATTCAGGGACAGAATATCCAAGATCAAGTTGAATCACATGGCCAGTTTGGTTGCTACAGTAGACTCCTTCCCATCTGCAACAATCTTGTTTTTCGGCTTCTGAACCCCAAGAAGAGAGATGATTGAACTCATCCACCAGGCCACGTTTGAATGCAAGTAGTGCTTGCCTTTCCCTCTCTATGCACCTCACTGTCACTTTAGCATCTCTGAGGCTGTGGCTGTGGTTGTGGCTGTGGCCAACTTCTCCTCCTTTTACGTTTTGTAGGAAAAGGATCGAAAATGCAAGAAAGAGTTTCAAGCACCTTCCGTCGCCCTTCATGTTAATTGATCAAAAACACTGCAAGTATATATTGATGTATGGTTGTCTCTCATATATGCTAGCTTGCATCAGATATATATAGGAAAAAAGGAAGAAAGCCTTTACAAAGAAAAACACGGTTTAGCTAAAGCAGAGCCACACATTCATACAAGACAAAACCATATAAAGGAGTAAATTATCTGCTATATACAATGCAAAATTAATGTTATGGAAATCACACGTCAATCACAATGAGACTAGAATGTCAAAGTGCAATTCTAAGTTCTTACAAACAAGAATACAAATCATTATGGAGGTAATTAAATTAAGTACACTATAATTGTTCCATCATAACTTATAGAAACCAAATTAATGATGACGCATGAGTTAAAAAGTAAGATGCAGGAATAAAAAGTAATATTTTTTTTAATTTCGATAAAATAATAAAAGTACTATTTTTAAAATTTTGGTTAATTTTTTAATATAAAAAGAATTGTGTACGTTCGGTGACATAGCATGCAGTTTTGCTGAATAGTGACAACTCAATGATGCTCTCATACCATGCCATGTGGACAACCAACCTGTATATGTAGATTCAATTTCAAATACATTTGAATGTATCATTCAAAAAGAAAAAAAACATTTCTTGTAACGGGAATAACACTATTTTGCTATCTCCACAATAATGCTTGAAAAAATTATCCTAGGTGGTTTGAAACATTTACTAGTATACCTTGTGATTAGTGTGGCAAACAAGTTTAAGGGGAAACGTTTCAAGATAGAGTAAAAAAAATTTTTAGGGTTAAATACATTTTCTTTAGATGCAAAGGAAATTACTAAGACAATCAATGTGAGATCTATGGAAACACATATTTCACCAGTCAATAAAAAACATAACACGTGAAAAAGCGGTATTCCTTAAATCAACTAATTATCCTATTTAAATCCTATTGAGCATTGGTCCATCTTCGGAATTTGTAACGATGGGCAAGGAGCTTGCTGTGGACAGCTATCTTCAAGTAGACTTTGAAGTCTTCATATGCCAACTCATGATGATTGACTCACACAAAAAGATTGTTAAGTCTACATACTTGAGTGTAAACTAGACTTTTAAGTCTTTGCACATCCACATTTAACTCAAACGTCAACAAACGGTAATTTTTTTTTTCCTTTTGCTTTTTTAATTGCTCAATTACTTTATTTTACCATTTTTATGTTTTTTCCTTGAAAGGAGCTCTTAGATATAGGTTCAATTTCACTTATGTCATCAGAATTGGACTATACCAAATTTTCTAAAAAAAGAAGAAACAAAATTGTACAACGTACAACCGACTCTTATTCAGTGGTCCAAGTAAACAAGTAATAAATCAATGAATATTGGGGAAACTAATGGATGAGATCGCGAAGACTTGTGACTTAGACTTCATATATGGTGATTTGCCTTTCAATGCAACTATTGACATAGACTTAATATGGTGATTTGTCTTCCAACGCGTGCCCCAATAGACTTGTAGGTACTAACTCAGCCCAACCCAATACTAATATAATACCTATATATTTATTGATACTAATAAATGAAAATTGGGTTTTTATTCAACAACTATAATACGAGAGTTTTTCAAAACACTTTGGTTATTGACCAAGTCTATTTTGAAATGCTCCTATAATTTAGGTTAATATTACATGGGGTCTTACAATTACAGATGAAAGTTTCTCTTATTACAGTGATGATCACGAAACACTTAAGTATATAGTGTTGGATATCTGACCATAGAGTTTCGGAGCAGCTTCCTTCATTTTGTATTCGGATTCTTTGATTTGATTTGTTTTGTTGCTCGTTAAGTGACTAGTATATGCATTACTGAGTCCCGTTCTTCTGGATTCTTGTGGTCCAAGGAAATTGTGGTCACCCACTCTTTAGATATAAATTATAATATAAGGGTAATTAAAAAAACAAGTTTAAAAATTAAACAACAACTAAAATGAAAAAACTAAAACTAAGGAGCAAAACACGCTCCCACTGAAGCAAGAGAGCTTGGGTGGTGAGATGCATATGGATTGGTTGACGAGCAATTCTCAGTCGGAATAGAGGCGAGATGCTGAAGACGATGACCAATTCTCAGTCGGGTTGGGTAGTGAGATGCATTTGGATTCTTTTTTTGACAATACCCAACCTATATGAGAGAGAGGGAGAGAAGACATAGAGATGGGCATACAAAAAGGGGAAAGGGGAGGTGCATCAGAGACATGGGATAGGGGATGAGGGTGGGTTGGGTATTTTATTTTTATTTTTAATTGTAATGGCTTGGATGAAATGAATGATGATCACAATACTTAAATTAATATTCCACTACTTTAATTCTCAACAGCAACCAAATTGATTTTTAACAATTGTACAATGTGTTTTTTTTCTTTCCCCATTGTTCATGTTTTGAAGGGTTTTGCTTCTTACACCCTGATATTTTTCTTTTAATTTTTTGTATCATAATGTTAGACGAAATTTAGGTTTTTTCTACTTAGGAGTCGAGGGTGGGTCCAACAAAAAATAAGAATCTAGGGTGACGTCTTGTAATCTGTAATGAGGAGAACTCTTTAGTTATAATTTACAAAAAGGAAAAAGGAGCTCTTAGATATAGGTCCAATTTCACTTATGTCATCATAAGTGGACTATACCAAATTTTCTAAAAAGAAGAAAAAAAAACTATACAACGTACAACTGACTCTTATTCATGTCACTATGTGGAAAAAGATAGTTGAAGAAAAATTTGTTAGTGGTCCAAGTGAACAAGTAATAAATCAATGCCTATTGGCTAGTCTTTTCTTTGAATAATTTAATAATTAAAATTTAATTAAGGACCGGGTTGTTACAATAATACGAGAGCTTTTCAAAACACTTTGGTTATTGACAAAGTCTATTTTGAATTGCCCCTATAATTTAGCTTAATATTACATGGGGTCTTACGATTACACGCGACAGTGGATTATACCAAATTTTCTAAAAAGAAAAAGAAAAAACCTATACAACGTACAACCGACTCTTATTCATATCACCATGTGGAAAAAGATAATTGAAGAAAAAATTTAGTGGTCCAAGTGAACAAGTGATAAATCGTTGGATATTGGGGAAATTAATGGATTAGATCGAAGACTTGTGACTTAGACTTGATATGGACCATATGGTGATTTGTCTTTCAACGCAACTATTGACTTAGACTTGATATGGTGATTTGCCTTCCAATGGGTGCCCCAACTGACTTGCAGGTATTGACTCGGCTCGACTTCGTAAGGTGCCCTCCCATGTCCACTCAACCATTGGCTTTGCATCCCATCCCTTTGGGCACAAGCTACAAATATCTTCTTGCAAATGTGGATTTGACTTAAGTGAGACATATAGAAATATGTCTACCCAACCCAATATTAATATAATACCTATACATTTATTGATACTAATAAATGAAAATTGGATTTTTATTCAACAACTATAATACGAGAGTTTTTCAAAACACTTTGGTTATTGACCAACTCTATTTTGAAATGCCCCTATAATTTAGGTTAATATATTACATGGGGTCTTACGATTACACATGAAAGTTTCTCATATTATAGTGATGATCACGAAACACTTAAGTATATTTAGTGTTGGATATCTGATCATAGAGTTTCGGAGCAGCTTCCTTCATTTTGCATTCGAATTCTTTGATTTGATTGGTTTTATTTTGCATTCGTTAAATAATTAGTATATGAATTACTTAGTCCCGTTCTTTTGGACTCCTATGGTCCAAAGAAATTGTGGTCACCCATCCTTAGATATAAATTATAATTATAAGGATTATTAAAAAAATCAAAGTTTAAAAGTTAAACAAAAACTAAAATAAATAAAAAAACCAAAAACCAAAAAACTAAAACTAAAGAGCAAAACACGCTCCCACTGAAGCAAGAGAGCTTGGGTGGTGAGATGCATATGGATTGGTTGATGAGCAATTCTCGGTAGGAATAGGGGCGAGATGCTCAAGACGATGACCAATTCTTAGTTGGGTTGGGTAGTGAGATGCATCTGGATTTTTTTTTTTTTTTTCACCATACCCCACCCCATTGAGAGGGA